AAGGCGCTGGCTCGCTAGTCAGGAGGTCGCGGTGTTGGCGGAGAAAGTTCATCAGGATTTTACCGCGAGGTTTCCCCTTGTCAGAATTGCAGGACGGAAGGCCTGACAAGGACATCTGCCTAGTCGTGCCGGTGCACGTAAAATAATCCTTGTCATATGGAATTTAATTTAAGAGTAGCACGTAGCGCCGCTGCCCGGACAAAATGTCCTTCATAGCCTGTCTTCAATAGCCCAGCCAGAGAAGAGCAGTAGGACGTTAAACCCCATTTCATTTTATTTATTTCGTAAATGGGTGAGGGGGGTGCGGCGGGTAAACACAGCAAGTCAAAGTAGGTCGGTATCATTTCAATTTAGACATTTCTCTTGAATTTTATTGACTCTGTATTTCTTCTGTACGGGTATCATTAATTTTTGTCAGTGTTCAGGGATGGGAACCCGACAAGGGCAGTGGTTATTCGTCCGGGTAGTACGAACAACATTGACATGCGCGCAAAAGAAACATTAAATTTTAATCCATTCTATATTTCTCTCTGCGCCATGAAGAATTAATGATAATTACCACAGTAAGTGGAAGTCCATTTTCTACTCCGTAATTGATTTCCAATAATTAGGGAATTAAAGTCCGCCATAGTGACATTAGGACTAATTAAAAAATAATCACATCAATGTTTTACTAATGTGAAGTAAAAAAAACTATTATAGCTAGACTCTACCTTTTTTTCAAAGGAGCTGTGGTAACTCAGTGAGTAAGACGTTGGCTCGCTAAATTGCAGGTCCCATTTTCGATCCCGGTGTTGGCCAATAAAGTTCACCGGAAGTTTTCGGCGTGGTTGTCCCATTTACCTTTTTACAGAATGACAATCCCATTTGTAGTGGTAGTCAATGAGGGCGACGAAAATTTATTTTAGTTTTTGACTTGGGTGTGATGGATTATTATGCTGCTGTTAGAAGTCGAATAAATGATCTAATTAACTTGCGCTTTGTGTTGTACAAGACTCTATAGAGCCTGTGTTATCCTGTCATAATAATTCATACATCACAACTGCTAATAGTTGACACTCGAGAATATTTGTTAACGAAACAGCTGATCCATTGAATTAATGATTGTGGCATGAGTGGAACCAGCACATATTGGGGAGCATAATAATCTTTAAATTGAAAAAATCAGTTGAGAACTTTTGGAGATATTCACCATTTTGTTGAAGGAAATGACATATTCTTTAGAAAAGTAAAAGTGGGGAAAATGCAGTTTAAACATAAATATTTATATTTCATACTTTCTGAGCAGTTAAAGGATCTAAATCAGTAATATATGGGACCTAGAAATTGACACAAATGGGTCGCAACGCATATAATACTGTAATATGAATGTATATAAACTGATTTACATTCAATCGTTTCTGTTTTTACTGCAATTTCTAATCCGTTATGTTTCGTTGAAATACGTCAAAAGTCTCAATAGAATGACGATCTCTAGAATCTGGTTATTCTAGTCTACACCGATTGTATTTATTGCGCATGCTCTCTAGATATGGAGTCACCGTTTGGCCGGACTTGTGGAATATGTCTAGCCTCGTTCTTCGAGTCCCTTGGTACAAATGGCACTGAAACGCATTATGGTACACGATTCCCGTACCAGTGGTAAAATGTTTATTTTGTCTTAAATATTGGATATCAAAGCCCATCTTTTCCCGCTAAGATCACAACATCAATGTTGATTAAAGCTGACAAATAATTCGTGTTTTCAATGTAGAAGGGTTTGAATGATACTGAATTAGAGACTTAGCTACTTTAACAGTTCTAATTTGTACACATTCTCAAACTATGTACTACATGTATTTATGATAAAAATAGAAAATTAACATTTATTCTGACAAATATTTACAATTTATAATAAAAATAGAAAATTAACATTTATTCTGACAAATATTTACAATTTATAATAAAAATAGAAAATTAACATTTATTCTGACAAATATTTACAATTTATAATAAAAATAGAAAATTAACATTTATTCTGACAAATATTTACAATTTATAATAAAAATAGAAAATTAACATTTATTCTGACAAATATGTACAATTTGTAGGGCCTTTCGGTTACGGTGAATTTTAATTTCGAGCCCTCTTCGAAATCGGCATATGTTCTTCGATTTCTGTGTCAGAACTTGGTGTAGTTGGTTGATCAGGCAGTGGTGTAACAACATCCTGGAATTCTTCTTTAACAAATTGTCTTATTTCGTCATACAAATACCATTGCCTTATCAAGTCCTTTTGCCCTAATCATATTGGGCATAGCGTCAGGTTGTGGTAAATCTGTCTTCCTTAAATTCATACGGACACATTTGTATCTAATTCTTTGATACATTCATGATGATGATATTTCTCAATTCCTTTAATTTTTGGCCTAAGTACATTGGTTCTATCATGGAACCTTCTATACACAATTTGGCAATGTCCACATTCTCTGAAGACTGCTCCACACCCTCTACAATGCCGACCAAGCAATTCACTTCTGTCTTCTTGTACACCCTTTTAACAAGACCAAAACACAAATCTGGGCTAAATTTAGTGTGGTCGGTTAACAGAAAAGACATCTTAATCGACATGTGTCGACCAGTCGAAACGCGCCACATAAGATAACGTCATCATGCAAGAATTTTTGTTTTGACCGGGACAATTATCCGCATGTAAGTGGGAATGTGTTTCCCATAGGCCATAATTTTCTAGGAAAAAGTGTGAAAATGAAACTACACAATTCGCACCCTTTGCAGTCTGTACACTCTCATCCAATAAAAAGTTGACTTGTTTGGGCATGGTCTCGCAACAGATGCCGAAGAGCCCACAATTCCTTGGCGTTTTAAACAATATTGGACCGGGCTGTTGAGGGATGCTCGGGAAATGTATTTGCTGAGCAAAATCCATGCTGTAATGTTTCCCTGTCTATTTTGAAGCCGTTAAAAAATAGTTTATCCTCTGCGCTTTTCGGACTGATTGTTCTCTTTGTCTTTGTCTTGAACGTGATGTCATTGCGGATATGTGGATTCCACAACAAATCTTTGTATTCGATCTTAGGTGAATTTTGTTTTGCAGGCTCTCCCATTGTTGTGTTTACTACTGCAAGTAAAAGCTTTATCGGGATTCACTTGTAAACCAATGTTATCTGTCAAATTATCTATAAAAGGAATTGCATGGTCTTCATCGCTTTCATCTAAAATATACAAACACAAGCATCATTTTAGTGGAAAGATCGAAAGGACAACTTCTTCCCCATTATGGTACATATAAACACCAAGACTGTAAATACTTTCTCTGAAGTGATCATACATTTCATTCTATAAAACATTTAAAAATACTACCACTAAACCAGATCAAATCACACAAGGAGACAGGACCCCCTCACCCACGTGAATAAAGAATCCACTTAAGACATCAGTGTTAAGAAAGATCCCGTCTAGAAATATACAAATCGTTACAACCATCATGTAAACAACAAAAGAGAAATACGACACATTGTCACAACCCATATGTCTAAACCCCCCGATCATGACTGATGAAACTCACTACAATTCAATACAAACACAAATAAGACGCTCAGTTAGTCTGTTGTGCCTTCACTTTCTCTTAATTAATCGATTGCGTCGATCTAAGATAATACTGCTACAATTAACATTCACCAATAAATTTCTCCACTGAAAATTACTAATTCTGCCACAAATAATTCCACGCCACCAAGGCTTTACTATTTTCATCAGGACATCATAAGTTGAATACCACCAAGGTACAACCCGAAGCCGCCAAGGCTATTGGCTACCTTAGCCAAAATCAATAGGCTACCAGGGCCAAATCGACAGCATTGCCATTGCAGTAGAGTGAGGCGGAATTCACTCATGTCAGAGGTGGTGGGAGTAGAGTCGTAACGTAATTAAACACACCGGGGATATATGATTGAACGTTCCTCATTTAAAAGTCTCCCAATCGCAAAAATGATGACAATCGAGTGAAAAGTGATTTTCGGACTACAACGCATACGCCGACTGCTTAAGAAAACATCTCAGCCAACGATGACAGTTGAAAAGAACAATTTTCACTGTATTTAATTTCGTCACGATTTATTCACACCACCTCTGTTGTCGGGACTGACGGGACTTAATTCCACCTCACACGATTGCGAGAGAGAGAGAGAAATGGAGTTTAACGTCCACTCGACACAAACTAGGTCATTTCGGGACTATCATATGGTTTAATTTTATTTCAATAATTCGCTTGCGCGTAGGGGTCTTTAGCAGTGGGAGGACCCGGAGTAAACCCACGAGGTTGGACAGGCGACCCTACTCCTTGTCACGTACAACCGGGGATTCGAAACCACGCCAGTCGACTCAATGACAAACTTTATGATACAGCGCGCGCAAGCTAACCATTCACTCATCCAACCCCCCCTCACACGATTGCAATACTGTCAATTCGTGGACGTTCCACACTAGCAATCGAGCATATTATGTTTCAGCTGTTATGGGGGGTTAAAACATTTTCTTACGCGCGCATTCAGACAATGGTTAACCTCGTCTACTTTAGTGATCAAATTTGATTTTAGTCCGAACTAAGCCAGAGTGGGTTACACTGGGGCAGTACTCCTTCATCACCCGATTTAAACCTGACAGCTAAGAAAGTGTTACTTAACAAAGATTATTTCAGTTATGTTTATTATTATTTATACTTGATTTACTTGCGATGGAATACAGATATTTTTCCGATGTTTTGGCGTTAATGCGTTTGAAGGGGGTTCCGGAGTTAGAATATTTTATCGCATTATAGCTCCGAGATACTTAATCCTTCCGGAAGTTGGAGGAATTGACATGCTGGGGATTGGTGCATTTCCCCACCGGCAATCGAGCATCTCCTATACGGTGGAAGGGGAGCAACTCTTTTGTTTTGGACTTTGACCGTAGTTTATAGTTTTTATTAACGTCTATGTTAGAAGTTATTAGTGGCCTTTAATCTCCTTTAACCCCCAAAGACCAATACATTTGTGTGTTACCCTATATTTAGATTTCAATGGCTTCTGCCAAGCCGTTTACCAGAAGGGGATGTATTGTTAACAGCTTATGGTGTGGTACATACGGACTCTAGTGAGGTAAGTAAGGTCTTATTTTCTCACTAAAATATTCCTTTATATTGTACAGGCATTCACAGAGATTTGAAACGCGGCCGTTTGAAAGTAAAAAGTTGCCCAGTAAAATTGACTGGGGTCCGAAACTTTTTCGACAAGGGCGGTTTCTGAACTACAGGGCGAGTGTAGTGAGACCTACGTTTAGAGCTGAACTAAATATATTCTGTCGGTAAGGTGGCAGTCCTAATTCCGTTTCCATTTTGACACAGTCACGGGATATGTCGGGATGGTTTACATCCCAAATGGAACAACATTGGCAACAGATAAAAAAAAATCAATTGAACGAGTGCGTAGACCGATTTGTTTCCAACAACTAATGGTTGTCAGCATTTGCTCGCACATTACTTAGATCTAGTTTGGTCTATACTACAGGCGTAATATTTCACGGTCTTGGGTGGACTTTCATGGTCTTTTAACCGATTTATTCAAGCACTGGGGTGATGATAAAGCTTATAGCTTTTCAACCGATCTCCTCAAAATATGAATCCAAGTGCTAACTAACTGCCGAAATCTCTAATTCCGGGAACTTAGATAAATGTCCTTTCCGGTCGGACTCGACCAATATTGTCACTTTTTAAATAACAATCTATATAAATCTTGACAATTTTGATATTTTAAACGACACTGTTTACATGTGGATACGATCTTGACAGACGCGGAACACCAGATGTTTTTATACGCCCACATTTTCACCGACCCTGTCCGCCCGTTCGTCCACAATTTGTTTGTGAACACTCTACAGGTCACAATTTTTAACCGATTTTGACGAAACTTTAAATATAGGTTTATCTCCAACAGATCTCGGTAACTTTATAGATTATGGCCCTTGATTGTGCGAAATATCACGTTTTTAGATTGTGGACACTCGAGAGGTCAGCATTTGTGTCCGAATTGGATGAAACTTGAAGTATAGGTTTATCTCCATACGATCTCGGTTCCTTTCGATATTCGCTAATACACGAAAAATCATGTTTTAAGCTTGTGGTCCCTCTAGGGTTCATAATTTTTATCCTGGATTATGGCCCCTGATTGTGGGCCCTCTAGAGTCACACTTTTGAGTCAATTTTTAAAAGAAATGTTTAATGTATCACCGTTGCACCTCAGTTTAAGTGGAGTAGAATTTCATAAAAATCGGACCAAAAGTGCTGGACAAAATGGCCGCTCCTTCTACGCAAATAGTCTAAAAGTATGTAATGCCAAGATTGCGGACCCTCTAGAAGTCATAATGTTTATTTGATCTTGATGAAAATTGAAATGTGTGTTTATAATCTTCTGATCTTGGCGCTTATCGGACCGTAATTTCCTGGCCCCTAGCTTTTAGAACCCATAGAGGTCACAATGTTTATCTGGTTAAAAAAAACTGTTTAAATATATCACCGTTACACACTTATGTTGGCTAAGTTCAAATCTTGTGAAAATCGGACCGACACAGCTTATGACTGCTACTTGTACGCAAATAGTGTAAAAGTATGTAATACCAAGTTTTTATCCGATCTTGATGAAACTTAAAATATATGTTCACAGTGGCGGAGTGGGTCTGAAAATATTGGTTGCCAGGAGACAAAGGGGCTCACCCACCAATACAATTCTATCATTTAATTTTTAAAATGAATAAATTAAATTTTCCAAAAAGATGTAATTAGAATTTTCATGCTAATAACTTTTTTCTAACTTATATTTTAAATATATTGTCGAATGTCTAAGGGGTTCCACTTGCCACTGGGCAAGCTGACAACCTGGCCAGTCCACCGCTGTATGTTTATATCAAACTTTCGATATTCAAGCATATCGGACCGCAACTTGATTATGGCCCCTGATTGTACAAAAAAATCGCGTTTTTGTTTAGCTTGTTCTAAGTCCAACTCCTTCAAAATGTGGTTGTATCTTGCCTAGCAACCGCTGGTTGAAATTCTCGATTGATGAAATCAGGTATAGAGCTTGTCACTGTCTCAATGTGAAGGTGAAAAATACATTTCATACATAATAATAAAATGTACCTTTAATATAATCCATGTTATCAGTGTATTAATCATTAGCTGTAAATTAGTCCCATTTGCTAATGTTGAATTCACCGGATGGTAGTTTGACAACTATATCCTTATCATTATCTATGACATTTAACGAGGATGTGTCTATCCATTTATTACTTCAGCTTATCCAGATCAAAGAATTGACAAATTGTTTAAATTGGCACGTATTTGAACCTTGATATTATAATATCTGTGACGTTTTAGGTTGTTATTATGTAAAGATTTATCAACCAATAACCCATTCTACGGTAGATATCGCGTGTGTAGTCCGGTCGCCAAGCCCAATTTTTCGAGTGAACCTAGAAATTGTATACAAAGTTTTTTTAGTAGCCTAGAGTATCCTCTTTCAGAATCTGTCGGGTGAACCTCGGTCACCCTTGAGCGTTTTGAGAAATTCAAGATGGCGTCCAAGACGGCCGCCACATCAAATAATCCCCTATAGCTCCCATAGTATTTATTCTATGATGATAACTTTTGTGTCTAACCGTATATTTCTGGGGCCAAAGAATACACTGAAATCATTTATTATGTTGTAGGGTGATTAGATGGTAGTAAAATCAAACATGCCAGACAATATGGCCCTTTAACTAGTTAGCGGCGGTTGGGGGCGATTATTTCACCGAACCAAACTACATCTACAGACAAACTATATATTTCTGGACATAGAAGAGTATGAGTGATAGGATAACACCACATACATCCCTGTCAGGGGCTTCAGGGCCACATGGGTCGGTCCTGAAAAGGGAGGCACAAGCTGATTGTTGAACATTTAAAAAAAACAAATTCTACCCGCAAAACAGGAACATAACCTCCACAAAACTAGGTAATATCCAGTTTAATCCTTTAGTCGTGTTTCTGGCTGCAACCTGTAATGTTTTCAATTTAGTGGCCTTCTCCCAGCAATACAGTTCCGTATAAAGTTCTGGCGGATTCCGATCTTCCAGTGAACGCCACTCAATGGCTTTGCGATGTCATACGTTTTCGATCCAATAATATTGTTGGGAAAAGGAGAGACACCCATTTTTACTAGAAAATATTGGGTGACGTAGTTGAACATATTAGTAATTGAATATTAACACAAGGTACAATTTTATGGATACACAATTACTGAGTTTATTACTATGCAACGTTTTGATGAGGAAACTCTCGTCTTTATCAAGCAAATGATACAGGTATGTGAATAGTAGGCAAATATATACAGAATATGCAACAAAGATAAGAATCAAATAGAAATGAAATGAAATGGGGTTTAACGTCCTACTGTTCTGCTCAGGAAGAATCAAATACAATTAAAGCTTAACACCTTTGGTTAGGGGGCCATTTACAACTAAACCTACACGGAAACTCTTACTTACAGGGATTAAAAGGAGGGGCATCCTATTATTTATAAAGATCAATGTATTAAAGGACAATATTGGTGCCAGTCATTATCACATATGTGATAGAGCTGGTTAAACACATTCCAAATATAATTTTAACACAGAGATCATTGCTACGATAGCTGAGTAATACAGGTTTCCTGAATCGGAAGTGACGAACGCCAAAGGAAAAAACGAGTTATCCCTCTATATAACTGACTGATGTGACCAAAAGTTGTTATATGGGACTGTAAGAGGATACCTGACAATTCAATAAAGTAATTGAATGTCATTAGAGAAGAGAACACGAGAAAAATAGAAATAGTCCGTACATTCCCTTGTTCATATTCATTCTATACCTTATAAAAACATGGTAATGCACGGACCTTTTCTGTTTTTCTTTCGTGTTCTCTTATCTAGTGAGAGTCAATTCTTTGTATAAATTGTCAGATATCCTCTCACAGTCTCACAACAACTTTTGGTCTTGGAAGGAATTATTAGTGAGCAGAAATTTGGAATGTGTTTAACCAGCTCTATCACATATGTGATAATGACTGGCACCAATTGGTAGCAAATCAACAAGACCACAAACACAGTGGATTTTAAATTAATGTTAAATTTGTAACTCTTTAAAAATAAATCAAAACAGCTTCCTCATAAATTCCTATTGGAGTTTGATTTGAGCAATGGTTCGAGCCATTATTTCACAAGACAATTGGCTAGATGGGAAGCCAGGTTAATTGAACACAGTCTGTACTAGAATATATACTATTCCAAAAAAGTAGGGGATATTTGATTTTGGGGGCATAATACTAAAATATGCAAATGACTACGAAAAAAGTCACTATAAAACCTTACAGAAGAAACATTTCCAGTTACATGTGACGCCCAAACGCACCAATAGCTACCGCATGGAATGCAGGTGATGCTTGGGATCATCATGGGGGTCCAACCGAAGATTTGCACGACTCTGACTTTGAATGTTACAGTCATTGTGGCATTGAATTCCAGGGTGGAAACATCAGTTTAATTGTTTTAGTGACCAGAAAACAAATTTTGATATGCGTCGGCTTACCCAAAATGAAAGGTTACGTGCCCTTGGCATGCTACAGATCGGCACAACACAGGCGGTTGTGGCGCGGACGATGAATGTTTCTCAGTCTGTCATAAGCAGGCTATGGTCCAGATACCGTGATACACAATCTGTACAGGACAGACCACGCTCAGGTCGACAACTCAAGCCCAGGATCGATTTATCCGTACCTTGGCCTTGAGAAATCGTGTCATCACAGCAAATCAGATCAGCGCTCGTCTTCAAACAGACACTGGTGTGAGAGTGAGTGGCCAGACGATTCGGAATCGACTGCATAGGGGTCACCTTCGCGCCCGACGTCCTCGCGTGATCCCTTGTTTGAGAGATCATCACATTCAGGCAAGACGTCGTTGGTGTAGGGATAGTCAACACTGGGATAATCGACGCTGGAGCAATGTGATGTTTTCAGATGAGTCAAGGTTCACTGTTGATTTTTTGGACAGACGTAGGAGGGTGTGGCGTCGTCGAAACGAGCGCTTCCAAGACGTTAACGTCATCAGACATGATCGATTTGGGGGTGGTTCTGATATGGTGTGGGGAGGCATCACTGTTGCTGGAAGAACGGCTTTACATGTTGTTGCAGGGCGTGTTACAGGCCAGTACTACCGGGACAACATCTTGGCAGTCCATGTTGTGCCGTTCGCACGACGTCATGGCCGCCGTTTCATCTTCCAGGATGACAACGCAAGATGTCACAGGGCCAGGATCGTTACAGGTTACCTCCAACAACAGAACATCATCACATTACCTTGGCCAGCACTGAGTCCCGACCTCTCCCCCATCGAGCATGTCTGGGACATGCTTGGACAGAGATTATGTCAACGTCAACAACGTCCTGCCAATGTCCAAGAACTTGCTGCTGCGTTGCAACAGGAATGGGACAATCTGGACCAAAATGACCATAGACGTCTCATTAGGAGTATGCCACGTCGGATCAATGCTTGTTTGGCAAACAGAGGAGGATTTACCCGTTACTGACTTGGTTGTGATGCTGTGGTAACTTTGCTGTTTGACCCCGGGTATCATTTTACCCTTATAATGGTCAGTCTGTGCCTTACTTAGTCTAACGATCATTTGGAATAAATCGATGAATGTGAACTTCATTTCATTTTGTCATTTGTTTCTTCGTCAGTTTCATTAGGTGACTTTAATAACACTTAAAAATCAAATATCCCCTACTTTTTTTGAATAGTATACATGTTGGGAGTGTCAAACTGGTCTAATGTCAAGCGTTTAATCGCACGATGCGCGTAGCAAGGAGTAGTTTCGCATGCCTACCCGCGAACATTTCCTTCCTTAAGCCACACCGAACCGTTCCGTTACAGCTTATGGAACTTTTAGAGGGTGCTTACAATCGCTGACGGCAATATTGGGCCTATAGTTTCAATCATCTAGGCCTAGATTTCATAAGTGAATATTTGTTTTACGAATCAGATATTTGTCATAAAATATTTGTGAAATGTTGATTGGTTTAATTTAATTTTGGTTATATAAAGATAAAATGTTTATGGAGAAATATTTTTAAAGATTTGTATTTGGAAATTTGTTGTTCGAGATTTGTGTTCCGTTGTATGTATCTGATGAAATGTAAATGTAGGCTATATAATTTTTTGATTGTCTAAAATAAATTTAACTAAAATTAAATTAAACAAAAATACAATTTACAAATCTTGTATGACAAATATCTGATTTGTAAAACAAATATTGATTTTAAGATACAAATCTCGGAATACGACAATTAAGAACTATGAATTAAGAACTAAGAATTAAGAACATTGAATAAAGAGCTGTTTGTTTTCCATAGACACAAACTAGGTGATTTCGGGACTAACACATGGTTGAATTTTATTGGCTTGCGCGTAGGGGTCTTTAGCAGTTGGAGGAAACCGGAGGACTCGGAGAAAACCCACGAGGTTGGACAGGCGACCCTACTTCTTGTCACGTACAACCGGGGGAATCGAAACCCCGCCAGTTGACTCAATGACAGACCGTATGATACAGCGCAGCGCGCACGTGCTAACCATTCGGCCATCCAACCCCCATTTTCCATAGAGAACTATTACATCTGAAAATTGTTGACATTTCTACAGGTAAAAAAAACAGTCAAGTTAAAGTTCAAAAAACAACTTAAAATGCGAGCCAGCATTTATATTGATATCATTATTTTTGATCTTTAACTTGACCTGCCCCCAAAACAAAATGTAAATTAGATTCAGAAAATGGAAAAAAACAAAATAATGGATTGAATATAAGTGCATTTAAAGACGCATTGTCTGAAAGCTAAATCTGTCTATTTTGGGTCTTTATTTATGTTTATAAACTATTATTTAGACATCTATTCACGTGACAAGCCTAAACTTAACTCTCTAGACCACCGGACTGCGGAGATTTAAATGAATGGAAACATTGCCATTTAATAATTTAATTTAAAAGTGGCGAATCTAGACGGTTGCTACGATAATAAGCAGTCAATGTTACATATTGTCAAAACTTCAAACACTGATAACATCGTTCAGAATAAAGTAATTTTCACCTTCTCACTACGCGTACACCACGCCCATGCGCCTCCGCTACTCTATTGCCATACCCCTTCACGCCACACAGTCACGTTGTGGTGCAAAAGCGTGGCGACGGCATAAATCGACATGCGCAATTCTGTACAGCTGAAATCTGTACCACCTAAAACAGCTTTGGAGTTGTTCAGTACCACCACAGGAATCATGAAGGATCACTGCCAAACAGTTTGTGCGGTGGGTTACCCCTAAAAGACACGCCCCAAAATGCTACGCCCCAACTAGACTAGGTTAGCGGGCACTGTTCCCGGTCCAAGAAATTAAAAAAAATTGCCAGAATGCGTAGAATACTAGTACCTAGCACGCATGGAAGATACGATAAACTGCGTTTGCCATAAATTGATATTTGGCCAAGAAACGTTTTATGGGCCTAAAAATACGATTTTGAAAAAAAAACTGTTCCTGCAATTTGTAAGTAGCAAATGGTTTAATGTCAAAGCAAACAAATGTGATATTAACCTTTCGTATAGATAATTTTACAATTATCTGTGGCACATAGATTAAGGGTTCTATGGTAATCATTTTTTTGTTTTTTAAATTTTTTATTCAGCATGTCTGGATGGGATTGGGGAACAGACTTAGCCTGTGTGAGTATAAATTGCAGCGAACGGGGGGACTTCAATGTCATTAACGGAAGAATAGGAGAAGTGCAGATCACAAAATGAAGAAAGATATACTTTTCTGTGCAATGCTTATGTTAGCAGCTCAAGGTAAGAATCTTTGAGGCATGATAATAGAATATGTCTTATCACTCGCATACCTGATATTGGACAAGCAGGAAACAATGATTAAAGTAGTGATGCGGCTTTGGCATTTGTCGTTAAAATATCAAGTTTCTCACGGCTTAATCCACGCTAATATGTAATAGTTTATCTAACATTTCATTAAGAAAACTAAACCGAAATAGCAACGGGAGATTATGTCCCGGCTTGGATTCAATCGAGTTTTTAAAAAAGGCTTATCATTAAATTTTGTGGACAACAAAATTGCGGTGGGCTTATTGCCTATAGCGAGCAGCACACTGAACGAAACTGGGTTATTATTGGACTAATACATTCCTATTAGGGGAGCCAGGGTGGCTAAGTAAGACGCGTGTTCGATCCCTGTATTGGCGGAGAACGTTCATCGGGATATTCCGACGTGGTTTCCCCTTGTCAGTGGTGCAGGACTGAGGGATTTACAAGGACAGCTGTTTAATCGTTCGGGTGGTACGAAAAACCAAGGTCCCGTGGATACATTGGCAGATATGAGTGGGCCAGAGTTCCGCTGCCCGGGCAAAATTTCCCTCATAGCACACTGTATATGGCGTATGCCCGTCTTTATGATCCCAGTCGAAGCAGAACAATAGGACGTTAAACCCCATTTCATTTCATTTATTCCTATATATTGTAGTTTCCATGTGATTTCATATTTATTAAAATGATGCATCAGGATTTTAAGCTTATGGTCTGGTTTCATTTTGGAACAGAGCTATATATCTCTACTACACATGTGTCATGTACGGTCGCCAGCAAGCACTGAAGATTTTAAAAACTACTCTGCCGCAAACGCCCTTTAAGTACTGCAATTAGAAACTGGTGCAATAATATAACCGTATTAATGTAGTTTTGCGATTGGAATTCCCGATCGACCGAGATTGCCGAATACGCGAAGCGTGGCTACTTAGTGGATATGAGGCCACCACCAGAAAATTCTGAAATTATACGATCGAAAACGCGTTTTCCTGCTTTCCAATGCCGGGTTTTCAGCTACCGAAACGTGGTCCACCCAAGGGGCATCAGAAATATTATTGAAAATCATAGTCAATTTAAAGAAATTTCCATTTCCGAAAAATTTATGAAACTAGTAAGTATCAATAAAATAAAACCAAGTACGAACAATCCAAACCATGACAAAATTCGAAGTCCTAAAAAAACGGTATAGGCAAAATAGTGTAATAAGCATATGGACTGTTCACCGTGTACGAAAATGTTGCTCAACGCAGAGCGGTACCAGAAAAAAGGGTAATCAATATTCAATTCAGTACAAATTCTCTGCATTTGATTTAAAGTGTTATATTATCATATCAATTGGGTGTCGGGCAAAATATTATTTTCGCCAAAATACTGTATTATTTCCCCGAAAGAGGGGGGGGGGGCATGCCCGGACACCTTTGTTCCCTTTATATCCTTGAAGTTGGTAATTGTGATCGGGATTGGGGAATCAATATAATTAAATATATACTACTAAATGTACACGCATTTCACCAACAGGTGGCAATCGACATCTGTTGAGTAGTTTCAAGATTGTTTAATGATTTCAGCCTCTTGTCAAAGACGTGGATTGGAAGCTGATATAACGGCAATAGCTAACGCAGCAACAGGGGTCATTTCAGATAACCCAGATGAAACGACCTTCGTGAAAATAGTGCTCATGCTCAAAAATATTGTTGATTATGTAAGTAGTACCTAATTAGAATGAAAAAGTGCTAATTCCCCTTATGTTTGGCAACATTGTTGTACTGTTGCATTTGCGCCAGACAATGACTTCTGGGGTTAAAGAGACTTGGCAATAATTGTAGTGAATAAACGTACTGGAATACTATATTACAATAAGGATTTGTTGCAAACAGCTAATTATTGCCATCGTATGTTGTCATCTAAATATAAACGCTAAATATAGCAATCAACGCCAAATAACATTGATATAACCACTTATGTCACAAACCATATCTAATTATTAAATATATCTTAACGTCACAAACCATCTCTAATTATTAAATATATCTTCACAAAACTCGGTCATATAGTTGCTAAATATAACCTACAAACTTTTTATAACCCTGTAATGATTACCTGCTATACTGGGTTTATTATTTTAACAAGGATCCAAAGAGTAACATTTTCGAAATCACAGCTTGGTTCCAGACAACATGGACTGATAGTAGATTTGCATGGAAACCATCTGATTATGGTAATATAACTAAAATAAGTATACCGTGTGCCGGTGTTGCGAAACCAGATATTAAACTCCACAACGGGTAAGTTATAATTCCAGATGAACAGTTTGTTGAAATATCGAGATATGACGACAGAGTGAAGTTAGTGTGCAGATCATAGTGTAAACTGGATTCTATAAATTATATTTTTTTTTATCGGAACACGTGTACCATTTTGCTTGGTTATTGCTTCTTTCAAGTGAAGAGCCCCGGGGAAGAACGATCTAAGTCACCTTTTCAACGAACCGCATTTAATGACGCCATCTGTTAGCAAAATGTAAAAGATTTCTATAGAAAAATCAATTTCAGGTTAAAACGACCGGAGTTACATCGCACCAAGGCCCTTCTGAAATGGCCTCCCGGACAAATACAAGTCCATCGTACTCTTTATTTAACCTTAATTTGCCTGAAAAGTATAAGTCAGTTGTATTGGTAATAATGATTCGTATTAAACATCATTTTGGAGTTGTAATTAAAGCCACTCGTTGGTCTGTTCGCGTCAAACATTCTCGTCCAAAAGTCTGTTTTGCCTTTTATGCTAAAAGACAAAAATGTGAATTAGATCGTTTTTCCTCTGGACTCTTCAAGTATTTGCATGGTCAGATGTCACACAAATATAAAAGGCATAACGAGCAATGGTTAAAATTCTTTCAAACCTATACTCATTAAAATACGTAATAGTTAGCCAAGTCTGGATTCGAATTCAGTATTCAAGTTTTTTTTATTCAAAGTCAAGTATCTCATACACACCCCATTTATACAATATAGCCACTCCTTCATGCTTTTCGAAACCCCTGACATAATAACTTCTTATTAGAAGAGTTCAAATAGTTACAACAGTTATGTATACTTTTGTATTGTGAGAACTGGCCCCGAGTTTACAAAGCATTCTCAGACTTAAGAATTTACTCAAAATTGTTCGCCTTTATAAAAATTTTGTTGTTCTGGTGTATCAAATACATCAATAAGAAATATGCGCGAGGTTTTGTGTTTCTGGATCAAAGATATTTCTCATAAACAGTGACTGAAAGTTGGGTAAATTCTTAAGTTAAGTCTGAGACTGCTTGTGATCTCGGGGCCAGGGGTAATGACTTAGTCTATGTTGATAGCCTCTGGCAACGGTCTTGGGATCTTGCAGGCACAAACAAACTTCATCACATTAAGCCTCTCTTGGGAGACTGGCCCAACTCCTATAGTTCACGTGACTCCGGCCACACAAAAAATCCCAATTTTTCTTATTTCTTCGGGGAAATACTAATTTAAGAACAAAACGTACTTTCTGGCTTTTCTCAAAGACTTAGTTCAAATTTGCAAGTTTTGAACAACACACCGTACATAAAACTTAAGTGGCTATATATGTATCAAGGGCTCGAAGAACTAAACATATTGGTTTGTCCTACTAAACATTATATTGGTTTGGCCTAACTAAATATTATATTGGTTTGTTCTTATATTGGTTTTTCCTAACTAAACATTATATTGGCTTGTCCCACTAAACATTATATTGGTTGACTAAACATTATATTGGTTTGTATAATGTTTAGTCGACTAAACATTATATTGGCTTGTCCCACTAAACATTATATTGGCTTGTCCCATACTATTCAAAAAAAGTAGGGGATATTTGATTTTGGGGGCATAATACTAAAATATGCAAATGACTACGAAAAAAGTCACTATAGAACCTAACAGAAGAAACATTTCCAGTTACATGTGACGCCCAAACGCACCAATAGCTACCGCATGGAATTCAGGTGATGCTTGGGATCATCATGGGGGTCCAACCCAAGATTTGCACGACTCTGACTTTGAATGTTACAGTCATTGTGGCATTGAATTCCAGGGTGGAAACATCAGTTTAATTGTTTTAGTGACCAGAAAACAAATTTTGATATGCGTCGGCTTACCCAAAATGAAAGGTTACGTGCCCTTGGCATGCTACAGATCGGCACAACACAGGCGGTTGTGGCGCGGACGATGAATGTTTCTCAGTCTGTCATAAGCAGGCTATGGTCCAGATACCGTGATACACAATCTGTACAGGACAGACCACGCTCAGGTCGACCAAGGGCGACAACTCAAGCCCATGATCGATTTATCCGTACCTTGGCCTTGAGAAATCGTGTCATCACAGCAAATCAGATCAGCGCTCGTCTTCAAACAGACACTGGTGTGAGAGTGAGTGGCCAGACGATTCGGAATCGACTGCATAGGGGTCACCTTCGCGCCCGACGTCCTCGCGTGATCCCTTGTTTGAGAGATCATCACATTCAGGCAAGACGTCGTTGGTGTAGGGATCGTCAACACTGGGATAATCGACGCTGGAGCAATGTGATGTTTTCAGATGAGTCAAGGTTCACTGTTGATTTTTTGGAGGGTGTGGCGTCGTCGAAACGAGCGCTTCCAAGACGTTAACGTCATCAGACATGATCGATTTGGGGGTGGTTCGGTTATGGTGTAGGGAGGCATCACTGTTGCTGGAAGAACGGCTTTACATGTTGTTGCAGGGCGTGTTACAGGCCAGTACTACCGGGACAACATCTTGGCAGTCCATGTTGTGCCGTTCGCACGACGTCATGGCCGCCGTTTCATCTTCCAGGATGACAACGCAAGATGTCACAGGGCCAGGATCGTTACAGGTTACCTCCAACAACAGAACATCACCACATTACCTTGGCCAGCACTGAGTCCCGACCTCTCCCCCATCGAGCATGTCTGGGACATGCTTGGACAGAGGTTACGTCAACGTCAACAACGTCCTGCCAATGTCCAAGAACTTGCTGCTGCGTTGCAACAGGAATGGGACAATCTGGACCAAAATGACCTTAGACGTCTCATTAGGAGTATGCCACGTCGGATCAATGCTTGTTTGGCAAACAGAGGAGGATTTACCCGTTACTGACTTGGTTGTGATGCTGTGGTAACTTTGCTGTTTGACCCCGGGTATCATTTTACCCTTATAATGGTCAGTCTGTGCCTTACTTAGTCTAACGATCATTTGGAGTAAATCGATGAATGTGAACTTCATTTCATTTTGTCATTTGTTTCTTCGTCAGTTTCATTAGGTGACTTTAATAACACTTAAAAATCAAATATCCCCTACTTTTTTTGAATAGTATATTAGTCGACTAAACATTATATTGGTTTGTTCTAACTCATTTGTCTACAACCTTTGTATGCCACAGTGTCTTATTCTCTCTATTTTAGTGTACGATCTGGTTTAACGGTTGATGTAGATGTCAACTGTGTTATTAGTCATACTGGCGAAGTAGCATACATACCCATAGCAAATATTAAAGTCTACTGTACCGGCGATCCTACAGATGACACGCATATATGTCCCATAATACTTGGATCTTGGACACACGATTGCGATGAATTGAATATTTCCCGAGTTGATGATATGCTTGTTCTGACTGAATACAACCTTGGTTGGAGATTTAGGATATTAGAACATTCATCAGAGGTTGTCGAAGAAAAATATGAGTGCTGTCCTGAACTGTACTGTGAGGCTGTCATTAAATTGAAATTCCAAGACAGAACGAGAACACCAGGTTCAAAATGGTACTCCGCACATGACTTAAAATAGACCCATGGAATGTATTTCGCAATAAGTAATTGACAGTTGTTTAAATTGTTTTTAAATTTTGAAAATCAGAAGATGGACAAGCATACATGAAGATTTTCCTTCGAAGCCTCCGAAACTTTATTTTGTATCTTAAGTATGATATTATTTGTCACATAGTCACTAAACTAGGTTATGTAATTAAGGTGTCGCGTGCGCCTTAGATCGTAAGTTCTGTCAAGTGGTTTGTACGTGACAACTTGTGTCGAGTGGACGTTTAACCATCTCTCTTCAACATACCAAGTTTGACATTTCTTATAAGTTTATAACCCACAACATATGGAATAACGATCTAATTTAATATTTATTTTAAATTTTCTGTAGTTTCCTAATCCTATCTGGATTATTGTCCTTATTTTATGTCTTTATAAATACACTTTCACAGTAAGATGTCTTCAGCATACCTGTTTTGCATTTCTTGTAGGGGTATTACGTATTCTATTTTGTGTAATTACATAGCTTAATAATTCCGATTAGTTCCTAAATCGATATTTTATTAACCTTTTGGCGTTATCTTGTCCGGATTATCGCCCTTTTTATTGCATTGTCAAATTTTGACGTCAGCAGACACTGGCTTTCCAGAGGGTTTACATTTTCTCATTTGCTTTTTTGACTTCAGTATTGTTTGTTTTTTACTCTTTTTTTGGTAAATGGAACATATACCATAACTATATTCAATGTACCATAACTATATTCAATATACCTCGATTCTATTGAATACTAATAAAATGTTTCTCAATTGACGTAGAACAATTTATTATTCTGAGCAGACTAAAACTAAATTGAACACGGTGACAAAATGAGGCGCGAACTTACTCGGGGGTTTGGAGGGGGGGGGTACGATTTTAATTGCTAAATAATAAAAGGAATTATGGATGGAATACAATAAAAATCATTAGCTACAAGATAACAATTGGTTAATAAGGGGCTCCTATTTTAGTCGTCGTCATTCATTTTGCTCAATAACTCTGTAACAGAAGCTGGTAGAAATATTTCCTCTAATCTCCTAGTAAGATAACTACATGTTTCATTTAGGACGCTTGATACCTCGCATACAGATTTGCCTTCCATTTCTGTTTATCAATATATCCTTATTGAATAGTAACATTTGGGATTGTAAGAATAATAAATATGCCTTGGCAATTGGACTTTCAAAAAACTTAACGAAAATTTTAGGTAGAAGTTCATGTGAGAGAAAATATAATTTCACTCCATCATAAACCCCCAAAATATGTAGTAAGAAAAGAGTGAATGGGTCATACGTTGGTCCGTTCTCCACGTCTGACAGTCGACCCATGGTACTACACCGCCCGTGACAATAAGATCCCATGGCAGCTGGGTGAGTGGAGTGTCCGAACAGTAGGGTGATGGTGGCGTTACATCTTTGGTTGACTGCACTGAAAAAACCACCAGAGCACGGCGCCACAGATTCTAGGTACGCCTCTATTCAACCCCAAGTTATAAATTAGAATTTAGAAACCACATCGGCATTATACTGACAGTTACTGTTATGAATGTCCATTTCCGTATAGTTAGCCATAGAAGATGTGGTATAATTGGCGGATATTAACTTTAAGCAAAATTTTAGTTCCCGATCCGCATTCAAATGATATCTTAGATACCAGATTTCACATAAATATACCTAACTTCCTGTAAGTTAAGGGTAAGTGGTCTTCAAAGGCAAATTTTCCCTTAAAGTAACGCTGGCTTACCTATAAGTGTTTAGTCTTTTGGTTTTCAAAGACCGTTTAAAGTTAGAAAAATCCGCATTACTTTTAAGTGACCTATGGGAGGTGAGTTAAGCGAGATTATAATGATCTCTTTTAACCGGGATACGATGCAGGAGCAGGTCCGTAATGGCGATTTTGAAAGTTAGGAGATCGAAACTGAAACAAAAACAATGTGGCGGAGTGTAGATGGCCTAATACTTTTTTTTTCATTATCAGCTTTGATTTTGTAGTGCCATAATCGTGTATAAGGTTACTACCACGGAGATGGTCAAGGTTTTTTTCCCCGATCATTTGTCATGTTCGTATTGTTTAATCATGCTTTCTACGAATGTCATATAATAAACTTTATTGTGTTAAATACATTTACAATTTGACAGCGATGACAGTCGATTGTAGATATCAGCAAGTATTTATTCTGGCCCGAGAACCAAGGCATGATTTATTTTTTACAATTCATTCCCTTATACATATTTGAAGTCTTCAATTTACAAATATATGGTGATAACTGCTGACCGAAACGTGCAACCAAGGATTTACAATTAATTTCTTGTGTTACCTATTGCGTTGTAATCGGTAGTATTTATGTACCGTCATGGAAGACCTTTGGGATTCTGAAGTGTAGGCATTGATACAATGATAGATTATAATAAGCAACACCCAATGATTTGTTCAGTCTAACTTTAAAGCTAAAAACCCTGCGTATTGCCAGTATGTTGATTTCTATTCGTTAAAGATAGTTAAAATAATAAAGTTTACAATATCCATCATTATACTCCCTAACTGGTCATTCCATTCTGGGTGGCATAACCAATGGGTCTTTTTGGGTGTATGGTGATTGAATGCCGGGTGTTCTTACATTAGTTGATCGTCCCTTTGGTCGGGCAGGGACGGGTTCTGACTTCTTTCGTACCTTGCTATATACTGAAGCTCTCCCGACCGCAGACCTTCGATCATCTGGGCTACAGATGTCCCACTTTTTTCTAAGGTGTGAGGAGGCATGGATATATTGGCCTCACTAATGGTACCTTTGTGATGTACAGTGCCCCGAGTTACAGCCACGGATGAAACCGGTTATAGATACGGGCTGTTAAAAATCTCGAAAATTATTTACAGTTATTGCACAATATCTATAGAACAACCCCCAGATGATCCTCTATTATAAACTATCAAGACATTGTACCTACGTGCTGTATTTCCTAAGATATATCACAGGAGTCTGATCTTCTATCCGTATATATATGCATACACCATGTCCAACCAGACAATATATAATAAAAAAAACAGGAATGCAATGCCTGTCGAAGACTCGATTTTACCTGCTTTCGCTTCGGCTCGTTTTTTTCTCAGATATGTTTTTTCTTCAATCTAGTCGTTTTGATTTGCATAAATACTCCCACAAAATGATATCATAGTCACTTGTTTCCAATAATTACATTACCTTCGTCCATTTCCATTTGGCCCGTTTTGCTAGAATGAAATGTTTTCTTTCCTTTTAACGGATTGTAGTAATTACATTGGGGATAGTTACAGGTGGATTCTAAAAAAATTGTAACTTTTCCCACTTGCTTGAGGCAAGGGTGCGGGGTCTTTTATACTTTCTGAAGTTAAAAGATCTTTTAGAGACGGGTTGCGTCTATAAGCTGTAAGACAGGGTTGCTGAAAATTAATCCGACAATCGTTCGAACTATGGAGGGTGTGCCAGTTATTCCTGGTGATTTTGCTGATGTGGATCGAAGTTGAAGAGGGGAGCTCAGCCATGGTCGCTGACACCCTCCAACTAGCCATAGATAAGACCATTGGAGAGCTCGATCAAGACACTACAACCACCACCTGCTCGACTGCCACAGTCGTAGCCACGGGGGCTTCATCCTTTTAAGACACCACTACCAGTGAAGCCATACCAAGTTCCATCCAGAGCCCCGCGGACATCCAGGTCGCTCCATTTCCTTCCCTTCACAATTGGGATTTTGAAACTTCCCCACACCTCATTCTCGGGAAACCTGCAATACCATCACAACCATCAGGAGTGACATCTGGAAAAACCGAGACCCGCACTTAAACCAACTTTTCCGAGTCCCGATAGAAACTACCCTGATGGATGCCATCGTAGAGGACCTCAGACCTAAGTTATCCGACCATGATCTTTTAAACTCATCCTTCATTTCGGGTTTGGGTTTTGATTAATAAATCTTTATAAACCTCTTTTTCTCGCTATGTCTTTTTACTCCTTTATCTTTGGTCTCACATAGACCCTCCCCTTCCCCTAACATATTCATACCCCATCTAGTTTTGGTCAATGGTAATATCATGCCTTCAACTCAACCCTACTCTAACCTCGCCTTTTTCCTAAACCCCGGTAAGGCTTTTTTTGTAAACCCCGGTATAATTCTAAACCCCGGTAAACCCCACCAAAACTCAAATCCCGGTGAAATATAAAGAAACCCGCCAAGTGAGATAAATCAGTCCGAAGAGTTCAATTAGAACGAAACTAGTCACTGCTAAAAGGGATAACTGGCCAAATCGCCCATCCTTATCTACCTATTGTTTTATGTAATTGGATCCGCCCCTGCACTACGTATTTCACCTGAAGACATGTCCACGTTGGACATGGGATTTATTAAGTCTTTAATTATAACACAGCGAGTACGTGTTTAGAAGAAGTTTATATAAAATATATATATGTTATCAAAACCAACTGGGGGTCAGTAAGTTCATTGTATTTAAGTTATTGTTCGTATTTTATAATATAGTAAATTATATGAAAGTTATGGAACACTTTGTCACATGAGTCGTAAAAGGCAATACAAGGTTATCGCTAAGTTATCATTTAAGTTTAGGAGCCTATACTGATGGATTATGAAATGAAATGAAATGGGGTTTAACGTCTTACTGTTCTGGTCCTAACCTGGGCTAATGAAGACGGGCATACGCCATACAGTGTGCTATGAGGGAAATTTTGCCCGGGCAGCGGCGCTACGGCCTACTCTTATATCGAATTCCAAATGACAAGGGATATTTTACGTGCAAACCAATGTGTACACGGGACGTCGGTTTTTCGTGCCATCCGAACGACTAGACAGCTGTGCTTGTCAGGCCCTCCGTCCTGCATCACTGACAAGGGGAAACCACGCTGGAAAATCGGGATGACCTTTCTCGGCCAATGCAGGGATCGAACACCCGACCTCCAGGCTAGCGAGCCAGCGTCTTACCCACTTAGCCACCGCGATCCCCTGATGGATTATGATAACTTGGAAGGTATGGGCCGTGCTGACTTGATTGTCATTACGATATAGGTTTGTCAGTCCTATGGACGCTTCTCATTCTGACTTTGTGGGCAAAGGTCATGACATCCTCGGTATTTCCCAGATAATTTGAATACGCGTCTCCCTTATGGATGAACACAGGGGTTAGTGGAATGAGATCACTATTAAATTGTTCTTTAATACTTTGTGGGGGGGGGGGGCGTCCTTAAGATTAATTTGAACATAGTAGGTGATGTCCTAGGACTAATTTCAACATAATTTATTTAAGATTAAATATATGCACCTACTTGAAACGCCTCTTCAATTTAATCTTTAATCTACGGTATATAGATCCGTCTTAATTCTGCTATATGGAATTTTACGGATGTCACTGTTCGTTGCTTTTCTTATCCTGACTAGAAATGTTTCCTGTTTATGGTATGCAACACCACTTGTTTAATGGAAGATTCGGTTGAGCAGAGGTTTGTATACAGAGTTCATATTATGGAATTTGTTTTGTTATTTATTTTGGGATTTTTACTTTATTGTTTGCTTTGCTTCTCTTGCTTTCTTATATTATTTGGTTCAATGAATATCTTTTTGGGATGATTTAAAACAGTGATTCTCAACCAGTGTGCCGCTAAATTTTGAACGGCACACAAAGAAAATGCGAAAAACCACGTGATTCAAATTTACTATTCAATGGTGTCTACTGATAAGTTCATAGTGATGCTTTTCTTTATTTAGTTTGTGTCTATAACTAGTCTGTGTCTACGGTTGTATGGTGTCTATGACTTACCATGTTGTTATTTGGCAAAATTCAAATAGTTTTCATATATATTTAGCCAGGTGTGCCGCTATTTTTTCATGTGTTCCATGTGCCGTTTGCAAAAAAAAAAGGTTGAGAACCACTGATTTAAAATATAGAATTTGGGTGAAGTGTGGTTTACCATGCCAGTAAAACGTCAAAAACTAAGATAATAAAATGTTCACACATGGCGACGATAAGAAAAAGAACGCAAATATGGCTGACTCGAGACCAGGCAAATTCTAGCAAGCTCAGTTTTATGGGGGAGACTGTGAGAGATTGGTCACACGCTCGACGCACCGTATAACAACAAAACAACGATTTCTAACTCAGATTCAATTTTTTAAAAAAAATATAGATTTGGTACAATGATAGGCCTGCCCAAATTGATATTTTCTTAGAGCACGTTTTTTTTATTTCTCAGAGCACTGTTTTAGTTTTCGCTCATCAGAGCACTGCCGCGCTTCAAGGTACGTTACCATGGGCTCTGTGTGTCGCTGTTTAGTTAAAGATACATTAGGGGAGATTCGATAAAGAGTTGGCAGTTCTGGCTATACTAGTTAAAAACTAGATAACGTAAAGGCCATTTGCTGAAAATTTCATTCGAATTGATCCACTATGAACCGAGAACTAAGCGAATGAAATTTCTGCCTAGCCTCGATCATCATTACTAAAGTCAGTACGATAAACAGCATAGTCTCGATTATCCATTTAATCGTTAAATCGAGAAGGAAAGTTATGCAGTAAATCGGCTCACAATCCACTAACGATCGCAGGCTAGCGATGCCATCGGGAGTTGATTATGGTCTGGATAAGTTAATTAATGTCTAATTAATAATTTAGATAACATTTCAGGCCTAAAGAAAGACCTGCAATAGACAGATTTAGCTCTTGCATAATGTTTGTTTAAGTGTTCGGTCATACAATGATTGGGTCTACCAAGCCAAACATCGTGACCTCTTTCAAAAATTTAAACAAATAATCTCTGTTACAACAGCTTGCATTTGGAAATCGCATTTAACATCTACGATGGTTTGTCGCCTACGAACGGTCCGAAAGTGCAATTTATCGAAGAGCAATGGCCATTCGTCGGTCCGTATTGAAAAATCAACGTCGTCTTGTATGCCGGTCTCACGTTTTACCTTTCTTCGTTTAAGATATGAAAGTGTCCATTAAAACTAGTTTTACATAAATATTTCTGTGATATAAGATTATTGAATGGAATTAGCTAGCTTATAAAGCTAATTTCACTTATCGTGGCAGACAGCATAACACGTATTTCATAAATGGTTATTTTGTTTTCAATAACTGAAATAAATAAAGGTGGTTTTTTTTCTCAGAGTTAATGATAGAACCAAGAGATTATGGCAAACAGATTGAATTAATATCAGAGTAACAGTCTGTGTATGTTGAAATGTAAATATATTATTTAACTCAGTTTTGTTTCCCGGGCTTCACGACGTGGCCAGGGGGATCACGTGGCTAAGTGGGTAAGACGCTAGCTCGCTAGCCTGGAGGTCGGGTGTTCGATCCCTGCATTGGCCGAGAAAGTTCATCCAGATTTTCCGGCGTGGTTCTCCTTTGTCAGTGATGCAGGACGGAGGGGTTGACATGGAAAGCTGTCTAGTCGTTCGGATGGGACGAAAAACCGAGGTCCCGTGTACACATTGGCGTGCACGTAAAAGATCCCTTGGCAGTTGGAATTCGATATAAGAGTAGGCCGTAGTGCCTGTATGGCACACTGTATGGCGTATGCCCGTCTTCATTAGCCCAGGTTAGGAGCAGAACAGTAGGACGTTAAACTCCATTTCATTTCATTTCATTTCACGACGTGGCCAGGGACTATTAATTGCGGTCTGTCTGTCTTTCACATTTCTTTCCATAATCCAATTCCAACCACATGTTGCATATAAAGATAACATGTCCCGACAATGTTCTGATAATCAGAACACACAGAACAAAGCTACGAGAATTGTGTGCAAGACCGATTTAAGATTATTCACTGACTACCCGTTTTAAATGTCATCACCAAGCTGCTAGAATTGTGTGCAAAACCAATTTAAGGCCAGTTGTTTCTGAACGTCACTGACTACCGGTTTTAAAGTGTCATTATCAACTTTGACAAGAAATAAGAAGTAATTATAATTTAAGGGGGTCGCCTGTGACCGCAGATATTTTGATTTTTTAATTATACGGTAAATTATCAACTTTTTTATTCTGGCGTATGGGGGGGGGGGGGGTGAGGCCGAATACTTAGCACGTGCGCACTGTATCATAAGGCCTGTCATTGAGGCAACTGGCGTGGTTTCGAATCCCCGGTTGTACGTGACAAGGAGTAGTCGCCTGTCCAACCTCGTTGGTTTTCTCCGGGTCCTCCGGTTTCCTCCCACTGCTAAAGATTCCTACGCGCAAGCGAATTATTGAAATGAAATTGGACCATATGTTAGTCCCGAAATGACCTAGTTTGTGTCGAGTGGACGTTAACACCCCCCTCTCTCTCTCCCTCTATTCTGGCGTATTGACTGTTTAATTGCGGAACCCTAACTTTAATTATGTCCTTACAGATAGTGATGAAGACTTGTGTTTTTCTGCTACTCGCTTTGTACCCTGTTTATACCAGGGCAAGACCCGGTGGATGATGGATTGGTGGACTCGGGCGTATCTAAGAAGAAACATAAATGGACAGTATGTGGAGACAACATGTGTAAGTGTAATGAAATAGGACAAGCCTTCTGTGTAAATCAAGGACATCGACTGAATTATATTCCACGATTCAACCAAAACATAGTATATCTGAATTTCACTGGCAATTATTTAGCAAGTATAGATAGCAAAACGTTTGTTAACATTACTAATTTTAAGCTGAATTATCTACAATTAGAGAACAATTTACTACAGAATTGTTCTACATCTACCCTTACAGGGCTGACATATTTACGAGTCTTAATTATAACGCATGATGTCATTTCCGCGACTGAATTATTGAAATGTTTGTCGGGGGTATCAAGGGGTTTGAAATATCTTAAATTAGCTTACTTAAAAAACATAAAACCTTTCGAGCTGAATTTTTCCAGCAGTATGGAAAGTTCCATGATTAACGAACTTGAGATCCGAAATATTCACTTGAGGGAGTTTGATCAGTCTATGTTTTTAGCTTTCAAGAACGTAAGAATAATGCGTGTGACAGACAACAAAATCCGTTCCACTAAATTTCAGCATTCGTTTACAACAAAAAATTTATCTTTAGCATTTAATCAAATAAAAGAATTTCCAACATTCTGTGTAAATGGCAGTGCGTTTTTTACAAATCTGCAACATTTGCATTTAGATGATAACAGAATATGGAATATTCCTGCCGAAAAAATCGCTTGTATGAAATCCCTCTCTTTCTTTTCGATTGACGACAACCCGATTATAAAGATAGATGGCAACACCTTTTCAACCTTACCAAACCTCCACGTTGTGTCAATTACATATACTGGAAATACTGTGTTACTGTTGAACGCATTCGCTTTTAACAGTTCGTCCATAAAACAACTCTATCTGGAAGACGACCACTTTAGTGTTGGTGACACATATAAGCATGTACATTTGAATGCTTTCAAATATTGTAATCAATTGGAGATTTTAAGATTAGGATCAAACTACCTAAGTAATGCTACCGACGACATGTTTGATGAATTATTTAGTACTTTGGTTAATTTAAAGTCGTTGTCGCTCTCTGACTGCGAACTTCGTTACCTTCCAAGTTTTATTCCACAATATCTGAAAAAATTGGAAGTATTATACATTGATCGTAATAGCATTATTTCCATACCTGAAACTTATTTCAAAAACCTGAATTCCCTTTATAACGAAGACCTCAGTAGAAACAAAATAACCAATATTAGAAAGAACACATTTTCATTAAAATTCCTTATAAATATGAAAGTGATTGATCTTTCTAGAAATCCATTTTCTTGTTCCTGTGAACTACTTTGGTTTATCAAGTTTATGACAATGAGCCCCCACAAAAAGTTTGTTCATTTTCCTGAGGCGTACACATGCTATTCGCCAACGATTTTACAAGGGAAGCAACTCAAACACGTCAATATTTCTAAACATGCATGCGCTAAAACGAAACAGGTTCGTGTAATTATTATATCTGTATCGACAGGAATTCTTCTCTTGCTTTTAACTATTTCTGTTGTTTACCGTTATCGATGGTACTTACGATATATAATATACATTGCGCGATTTCAACGCATGCGCTCACAAAGGCTTTTAAATGGTGGCGTAAATTACAAATACGATGCATATCTAAGTTCTTGTGATGCAGATTTTGATGACGTAATATATGATAAACTTGTGCCTATATTAGAGAATAACATGGGTCTGCGACTTTATATCCCCCAAAGAGATGGCCAGGGAAATAAAATTGATCAAATAATATCCAATATGGATGTCAGTCGTAAAGTCATATTATTTATATCTGATAATTATGTTGAAGACGGTTATTGTGAATTTGAAGCTAGTTTTGCCTATAATAAAACTATCAATGAAAGACGTGATTTAATGATTGCAGTAGTATTGAGTGAACTTCGGGCCAAGAACGTAACAAAAACCAAACATGAAGTACTGGCTGTAAATAATTATATTAAATGGGGCTGGGATGAAGAAAGTGTGGAATTATTCTGGTTAAAGATAACTATTGTTATTAATAACATGAATGATCTAATACCTTAAAGTCAACAAAGGGAAAGTGTTGTCAGAAATGAACATATCAGAACTCATAAGGACATGGCGTCTGAACTTTTATGTTACGAAAATACAGTCCACGTGGTGTCAGACATGAAAATATCTGAACCTGTTGTTATTATGCAAATACTTCCCAGGGCTTTTTGACGGGAATGGCACTATGTATATACTTGTAAAGTAAATCTATGTTTATATTTAGTGTAGACATAATGATACATGTAAATAACATGATTCGTGTTTGGGTATTGAACTGAAGAATTACTCTTTGATTTTCCTTCATATATTTTGTTATTGGATTGTCTTAACGAATATTTATTTTCGGTATTATGTGTAAATTTTGATTTGATAGCCATTACTAGATTGTTATACACTCGCACATAGTACGGTTGTATAATGCAGTTGCGGTGTCCGTCGGTACGTCCACACATGCATGCGCATGCGATAAGATAGATTGCTGTCTATTTTTTTCGGGACAAAGCTGTTGTCTGGGCGTATTTCCTTTGTTTATTTGTATAGAATGCTTAACTTTTGCTGTATTTTATTAGAGCGAGATGTTATTATTATTAATATTTTTATGAAACCAATTATCGTTATAAATATATCTTGTTACAGCATGAAAAAACAATTTATTATATAATTATAAATAAAACGAACTGTCAAACCTTGTGTGTTCTCTCCGGTTTCCTCCCACTGCTAAAATTGAACCATATGTTAGTCCCGAAATGACCTAGCTTCTGTCGAGTGGACGTTAAACCTCTGAACTTCAATTGCAAATTCGCGGACTATTGTAGCAATACTCCTTGATACAGTCGTGAATCGAATAAATACCAAGTGGCACTATTAACCACGGACTCCAAAACAAACTGCAAAGTGACACCAAATCAAATCAATATTCTAGTTCACGAGCTCATCAAATCAGAATATGTAATACTGTCGTGAGTTACGTCGAGCAAATCAGATTTCTAACAGCAGTTTCGCAGCTGCATATGTATGCCTTCAATGTGGACGTCACGTTGTGTTCAATTTGTGCTTCAGGACTTCAATATCATGCCTCCACGTTGTGTTATTTTACTATTACAATTCGGGGAAAACACCGTTGTTATAAATACGTGTTTATATAGTAGAATACATGGCAAGTACACAACCTACAACCAGCTGTGATACTGCGTACATAAACATAAGCCCAATATGGTGGCTGATTGGTATCATGTCGTGATGAAAGGCGACAACCCGACATCACGACATTTTAACCCGACACTACGACTACCCGACATCACGACATTTTAACCCAACAATACATTTTCATCCGACACCACGACATTAAAAATGTCGCGTAAAAATGTCGTATTGTCGGGTTAAAATGTAATGTCGTGTTATCGGCCATATTTCTGTCAATACTGTATGTGATTATGTACACCGGAAGTTCCTCGGGATTTTGCAGCGTGGTTTCTCCATGTCGGCAGAGCAGGACAAAGTAATGGCAAAGAACAATATCTAGTATTGTGGATGGGACAACCCCTTCCCCTCCCCCCCAAAAAAACCAACAACCTCCAGTGTACACACTGGCGTGCACATAAAAAAATCCTTCACAGTTGAAATTCGATGAAGAAATGCCATGGTCCATTGAAAATTTCCGTCATATCACTCTGTATAGCGTATGCCTATCTTCAATAGTCCGATTGGTTCGGAAAAGTAGGAAAGTAAAATGAAATGAAATGTTGTTTAACGTCTGGGAGCCTAAGCAGGTAAGACGCAGACTCGATAGCTTGGAGGTCGCGGGTTCGCCCCCGGTGTTGGCCGAGAAAGTTAATCAATATTTTCCGGCATGGTTTCCCCTTGTCAGTGATGCAGGAAGGAGGGCCTGGCAAGGACAGTTGTTCGGATGGGACGAAAATCCGAGGTCCCGTGTATACATTGGTGTGCACGTAAAAGATCCCTTGGCAATTGGAATTCGATATAAGAGTAGGCCGTAGCGCCGCTGTCCGCGCAAAATGTCCCTCATAACACGCTGAATGGCGTAAGCCCGTCTTCATTAGCCTAGTCAGAGCAGAACAGTAGGACGTTAAAGTTAATCAATATTTTCCGACGTGGTTTCCCCCTTGTCAGTTGTGCAGGAAGGAGGGACTGACAAGGACAGCTATCTAGTCGTTCGGACTGGACGAAAAACCGAGGTCCCGTGTATACATTGGCGTGCACGTAAAAGATCCCTTGGCAACTGGAATTCGATATAAGAGTAGGCCGTAGCGCCGCTGTCCGGCCAAAATGTCCCTCATAACACGCTGAATAGCGTTAGCCTGTCTCCATTCATTTCATTTCGTTCTGCCCCGACTGTGCTAATGAAGACGGAAAATATACCCCGAATGTTTCACTCACCTCATTGATTAAATCAATTATATTTCCACATCAACATGAATAAATTAATCATGCAAATATAAAATGTTTTTTGTCAACTTGTGTCGTTTTGATTATCTTTCATCAATTATATTTTGACATGTCAATCGTTAATTATGTTTTGACATATCAATCGTTAAAGATACATTATGGGAGATTAGATAACGAGTTGGCAGTTCTCGCTATAATGAAATGAAATGGAGTTTAACGTCCTACTGTTCTGCTCCTAACCTGGGCTAATGAAGACGGGCATACGCCATACAGTGTGCTATGAGGGAAATTTTGCCCGGACAGCGGCACTACGGCCTACTCTTATATCGAATTCCAACTGCCAAGGGATCTTTTACGTGCCTCGCTATAATAGTGAAAAACTAGATAATGTAAAGACAATTTGCTGAAAATGTCATTCAAATTTGCTGAAAATGTCATTCAAATTTGCTGAAAATTTCATTCAAATTGGTCCACTGTGAACAGAGAACGAAGCGGTTGAAATTTCCGCCTAGCCTCGATCATCATTACTAAAATCAGTACGATAAACAGCATAGTCTCGATTATCTATTTAATCGTTAAATCGTGAAGGAAAGTTATGCAGTAAATCGGCTCACAATCCACTAAAGATCGCAATCTAGCGCTGCCATCTAGAGTTGATTATGGTCTGGATAGGTTAATTAATGTCTAATTGATAATTTAGATAACATTTCAGGCCTAAGGAAGACCTGCAATAGACAGATTTAGCTCCTGCATAATGTACGTTTAATTATATTTTGGTAATGGGGCACAATCATCTTAAGAAAGGTGTTTTATATTTTATTTATCATCTGTAATCCATGACAATCTTCATATGGGAAATTTAATGTCTTCATACTCCCCGAGGACATTTCGTCTGGACTTTTGGTAAATAAACTTTTCTTGGTTGCATTAATTGGCCCTACCCGTGCAACACATATATTCATTATAAATTCACCAAAATAGGGGGAGAGTAATGCGACATGAGGTGTTTGTGCGTATCTGCGTGTGATCTTTTGTTCTTGATTTTGTTGGCTTGTTATTATTAGTATCAGGAATTATGGAGTGGGGGTTGTGTCAAAGTGCGAGTAATATAGCAACTCATTTTGTACAAATTCTCATCAGCCTTAGTGGTGCAACTAACACCTCATTTAGATTACATTCATAACAAGAAACTTAAGTCAAGTTCAATTTGCTGTTTTAATAACAATAGTATTACAATTATTTTATACAGTAATAAAAATTAGTTTAAATAGTAATAAAAAAATAGTTTAATAACAATAATAAAAGGGTAGGGTGTGGTCATCGGGTTTCTCCCGCAAGCGAATTATTGAAATAAAATTCTACCATATGATAGTCTTTAAATGACCTAGTTTGTCTAAACTGGATGTTGAACCCCATTTTTCTCTCTCATAATTTTACAGCAATACATAATTAGTCCGATATCTCAACCTGAATTATCAGTCAAATAGGTCTACAAAAGATAGTAGTAAATGAGGCGTTAACTTTTGAGATAAACGATAAAAAAAGAGTGTAGAAGTAGGTCTGGTCTACTCCAGTCTACTTGGCCCCTATTATTCACATTGATTGGGTGGGTCTAAGTAGGAACTTCTCTAGGCCTACCCTCACTCGTGTTAATGTCCTCATTAACAGGGGTACATTACTTGGTGACAGTAGCAGACGCAGGATATTTGGTGGGAGTGGGGCGTCCATTGGTGAAAAATATGCGCCCCCCCCCCCACATCACCCCAAAGCTAAAAAGTTACAAGACTGATAATTAATGTCAATAATATTAATGCACTGGGTCTATGATACAAACATACATATATTGTGGCCTAGATAATCACACGACGACAAAGATGCAGATTCATGGCTTACGATAGAAATAGAAATATAAAAAAAAAATCACTCTTGTCATTTCGATCTCCGGGCAGTACTGTTCCGTTTACTTTATTTATCGGAATAGCCTTGAATGTTTTCTCGTTTTTTTAAAGCCACTTGTATCACTTTCATTACGTTGTTTAAAAGTTTTAAATAATTTCATAAATTACATATTTACACAGAATGAGTAGGTACGTAATAGAGACAAGATGTCGTTACAAGTCGGGCTTTTCAGAGTTATTTCCCTTTTCCCATATTATTCTCCTCTCACGTTCTTTGTCTCGCGTGTAATATTCATTAAAATTTGAAGCAATGATTGCAATTGGCATTGATAATGCTAACAAACCGGTAATAGCACAACAAGATGCAACAAATCTGCCCAAGGCCGTTTTTGGATATATATCCCCATAACCAACAGTTGTCATAGTGACGATTGCCCACCAAATGCCTAATGGAATATCCGTAACTGTTTCTTCCTCAACTTCAGCTAAATACAGAGCACATCCAAACAAAGTTGCGATGATAAATACGCACACTGTCATCATTGTCAACTCTCTAATACTCTTTCTAACCGACAACAACATTATATGAAGGGATGGGAACCTTTCCGCTAATTTAAAGAATCGCAAAATTCTCATCACTGAGATGTATTTAAGTCTGATGTAAGAAATGTATACGAAAGAAGTGGGATGAAACATTATGAATCCGTCGTCAAAAGCCATGTCTATGATAAGCGTCGCCCAATTACATATGATCACCAAAACGTCAATGATATTCAGAGCATTTTTCATAAACTTGAACTTACAAGGAGTAGTAAAGAAGGAAAGCAGCCATTCTAACGTAAAGAAAATAGCACAGATCACGTCGACATAAACAAGCGATGGGTGCGGAACAGTATTATAAAACATCAAATATATAGAATTGTTAATATTGATATAAGGCTGGGGGTTGGTAAAGTTGAAGATGCGTTCAATTCTAAAAGCTGGATGAGTATTGCTGACAAAAACAAAAACAGATACCAGTACCATCAGTAGATATAAGCTGTTAAATATCTGAAATTATATAATGTAATATAAAACTTCATTGTGCATATTAATATCTTAGATTATGAAAAGAAAACTAAATGGTGTCTTTTGAGTACTAGGAACAGATGCCCGTTTGAAAATTATTTGTTCCCTAACCGAGACAGATCCCAAGGATTCGCAAATATGGTTTCAACTTTTCGTTGGTGCAGGATGGAAGGCCTGGCCAGGAACAGTGTCTAATCGTTGGAATGGGACTCAAAAACTGAAAATAATTATCGAACTGGCTTATTTCCGCTTAGCCTAATACCCCCATTTCACTGAGCTGCGGAAAGCTGCGGTACTCACGGACGTCCGCGAAATGGCTTCTACGGAAGAGCTTCGGCATTTTTACGCGGGAAAGTGGAAAAAAATTCCACGGAAAATGTCCATTTCACACGCTCTCGGAATACCTTCGGAACAGTCACGGTATCTTCGGAACGCATACGGGTAAACTACGGTACAAATCACGGCGAAGCGGCGGAGAAACTGCGGCACACTTAGGAATGCGCTCGGATCGTCACGGAAGATATTCGGACAACTTGCGGGATACACTCGGCAATGGCGGAAAATACGCGGGATAACTGCGGTAGCAAAGAACGTTTGCGGAAAAATTTGTTCGTGCTCATCCGCAGTTAAACCGGGAACGATCCGTAACATTCGCAAGTTTTTCGCTTTTATTGCGTATACAAACGCAGTTGCCGCAAGTTGTCCGCATGTATACCGCAGACATTCCGTCACTTTCCGCGGGTGTCAAATAGTCACGGATTACATGCGTTCGTGTAAGGAAAAATGCGAAATAAAAGTGCGGTATGTTCAAGAAATGTTACGGATTAGACGCGGACGAGATACTGAAGTGGCGTAAATAGCATGACACCATGGATAATGATGCATTACAGAGCGGTGTGATTACGGGTTAGTCACGGATTAGGCGCGGTTAATATACGACTCGTTTGCGGACTACTTGCGGAAGCCGCGAATCACTTGCGGACTGTTTGCGGACTTCCCGCGGAAGAATTTGCTGGGTATAAAATCCATGCAAAGTCATCCTTCATTCATAGATATTTCTACCTCGTCATCGACAACAGGTATTGCAAACAATTGTTTTAAGATGCACTGAATGAGTTTACATTATGTCCAGGATGTGATAATGATGTAATTAATTTTGTTTGTCTTTAAATAAATTTCTTAATTACTTCAGTATTTTATTGTTTATTATGTTTGCCCCGAGTTTAGATGTTAAAACAGCGAATGTTTCAGATAATTTAATAACAATTTAATAACATTTCGCACAATTGTTAAGAACAATTTGGGGGCACAGAAAATGCAGGTCTGTTTAACTGTCATAATGGTCACTTGCAGTTCACTCAGTGTTAATCTGTGTGTTCTTGGTGTAGGGTTGCCAAGAGACCTGTCCGACTCCGCTGTTGAAATAAAGCTTGAGGTACTCCCGCTGCTTCTTGACCTCTACAGAGTCTCTGTTGGGACCAACCACTCCTGCAAGATCATGCATCTTGGCTGTCTGACGCCACTGCCCCGGGATAATATTGTGGTCCTCGTCTTCTCTGTCGATAACGGAATCGTGAAGTCTAGTGTATCTTGTCCTCATTATGTTGTGAAGACAGATAGAAGCTTAAACCATAGTTCTGACGACATCTGGGCCCTGCTGCAATGTTGTGAGAAGGAACTGCCAGCGATTTGCTAAGGTGCCAAAGGCGTTCTCTTCGACTCGTCGTGCTCTGGATATCCTGTAGTTGTAAGCTAATTATTCTGCTGTGAGTCCCCGTCTGGGGTATGGCTTCATGAGGTACTTTCTCAGGGCAAAAGCATCGTCCCCCAGAAGGAAGTATGGATTGTTGACATCATCGTATGGGGAGAACGTCTGGTGTTGGAAAGTTGAGAATACCATCTTCGAGGCATTCTTTCAGTTCTGAGGTGTTATATATTTGAGCGTCGGACATGTGCCCCATACCACCAACGTCTACCCACAAGAATCTGTAATTGGCGTCTACCAATGCAAACAAAATAATAGAGAAAAATCCTTTGTAGTTGTGGTAGAGGCTTCCAGAAGATGGTGGTTTTCTATTGGCAGCGTACTTCCCATCTAAAGCACCCACCGCACGAGGAAGGTTCCATCTATCTTGGAAGTCCCAACTGAGGGATCTCCATTCCTACTCAGTATGTGGACACTGTATCACTTCGTCTTTGTAATGGTCGATTATAGCCTGACAAACCTCGGGTAGGAAGCTTGTGATAGTGTGACGAGATACCCTGAAGTTGTATGCCAGAGAAGGATACTTGTCACCAGAAGTTTGAGACCTGGCGTGAGGGCGGCTCTAAAGTTGGTGTCCTGCTTGGTAAGTCTAGGAGATAAGGCGGTCAGCAACTCATCAAAACGGTTGGGTGGCACCCTGGGGTAGTTGAAGAACGACTGCTTGTCTTTAAAACGGAGCTTTTCAAACAGATTGCCAAAGTTACAGGGACCTATTCTTCGTTCCACTCTCAACCATGAACGCAACCAAAAGCGTTTAAGCGTGTCTGCCCTTCTTCTTGGTTGCTTTTTTTTCTTGGAGTTCAACTTCTCGTTTCAAACTGCTGTATTCATAAAGCAGCAGCAAGGCGTTGAGCAGTTCGATGTCGTCGTTAGGGTCCTGAATGGTATAATGTGCTTTCCTCTTCAAAACAGCAATTTTATAGGCGAAATCACGTGCAAATCATGTGCTCTTTACCAATTTTTCCACAGGTACGCCGTGATTGATCCGAGACCAAACGCTGTTGTCGAAGATCGTCCGCACTTGTTGCGCATTTATTCCGCGTAGAAAGCAAGTACTCAGCGATTATTCCGCAGCTCTACCGTGCCAAACGGATTAGTATCGCCAGATACCGCAGTTATTCCGCTACTGCCGAGTGTGACCCGCAAATTATCCTTATGTCTTCCGTGCTCATTCCCATGTGGTCCGTGATTTTTCCGTGATTTATTCCACGGATTCTATACCCTGAAATTTTTTTCCGCGGGAAGACCGCAAACAAACCGCGATTGATTCGCCGCTTCTGCAAGTAGTCCTCGCATACAGTACGCAAATGACCCGTATATTAACCGCGCATAATCCGTAACTAAACTGTCGTCAGGCCGGCTATCCCTCGTTCTTGTGCGTCTCGTCCGCATCTTTTCCGTAAACATTCCGTGATATACCGCGCTTTCCTTTCGCAGGCGAAGGTCTTCCGTATTCTTCCTTACATGAACGAAGGTCATCCCTAACCATTTAAAACCCGCGGAAAGTGACGGAATGCCTGCGGTATACATGCGGATAACTTGAGGCAACTCCGTTTGTATACGGAAAAACAGCGGAGGACTCTCGGATCGATCCCGGTTTAATTGCGGAAGAGCACGGAAATTTTTTCCGCAAACGATATTTAAAGGAACGTTCGCGGAACAATTTGGGCTCGCACAAGTCTGTGGACGACGAGGAAGGACTACGGATTCACTGCGCTTCCTGTCGGAGCCATACGGAGTGAGAGGAAAGACTTACGGACTTTGCAGTACACTTGCGGATTTCCTTCCGCAAGTCTTCCGTGGCTCAGTGAAATGGGGGTATAAGCATGGTATACCCATCTTCGAACCCTAATCAAGGCATTCACCTAATGTACACTGACACCATGTGCGGGGAAGAGAGTTGGGTGGCAGTCCCTCCCAGTTCCACCGGCTAATATTGGGCTGTGTGGAACATGCTAAGAGTCGATTTGTTGCATATCTGACCCACGGTATATGTTTGGCACTGGTTGAGCATTATGATTATAATATTGAAAAACGCATGATGTTTTTGCCATTTGCGAGGGGGCGCAAACACTCAAGGCGAAACAAACTCTAAGCCATGACGCAAAGCTCGTCATTGCGTCCCTCTCACTTAGCCCCTCCGGCAGATTCGACTAACCAAGCTAGCAACCCCTTCGTTTAGCTGCAGATTCGACCGATCAAGCTAGCAACCTTTTCGTTGGCAACCTATTCAGAAAAAAACCCACCAGAATGGACTAAACTCATCTAGATTTATCAACCAATACAATCCAACGAATAGTTTGCCAAATTGTGTTCGGTTTTATAACATGCAAGGTACCGCTGACTGTGTACGTGTGACTGACAGGTAGTAGGCGTGATTAAGTTGTCGCCTAAGCTGGCCGGTCACCTCTGGCTTGTACATTTAATACTACAAGTAAAATGTTTACGACCATACGGTATGTAAATCCCAATACCGAATATTTAAAGCGGCCGTTTATCGATTACTTTACTTACTGTTCTATATACAAATGTAGTTCTTATAACACACATTAAAATCACGGAAGTCTCATACAGTATCTGCTAGCACAGTAATATCGGTTAGTGTATAAACAAAAGCTTCAGCCATTTAGTTTTTAATGCTTATACAACTGCCAACTAGAATTGTAAAGTAATACGCACCCTTCGCCTAATGGTAATTATAGATTTTATTTCATGTCAGTGTAGGTTTAAAAAAAAAAAAAAATTGTCACAAAACACATATCAAGGTTAAACTTGCATTCAAACAAACAACTGATATCCGATGGATTCGTTTTGCTAAATTGCAGACTATAGATTTACAAAAGGGCTCATCTCAGACTTTTTTATTTCAAAGTAAAAAGATGAAATTTGTTCTTGAGATAGAATAGTTGGTAAATGATATGTACTCTCACGCAATTTAACATATATTTTTCGATTATCTGGGCTTGTTTAGAAAGACTTTACGTTGCTCCAGCCTACAGGCCTAAACTTCATAGCTTGTCACTTAGTAGAAGAATAAATTGTATATCGTAAGTCTTCAATATCGATTAAACAGACGCGTTTGTCAATTTGGCAAACCGATCCCACCGTGATATATCCCATTTGGTGTACTCAGGAATTTTTAAAACAATCCCATTCCTCCAGTGCGCAAGCCACCAGTCACCCAATGAGGTGCCAATTGAAATGAATATCAGCTAATATCTCAATCTGATTAAAACATAGATCATATTTCGTTTCGTTTTTTATAGTTCAAAATTTCGTTTTACTGTCTTTACTACTCTGGGATCTGGAAGATGTGTTATATAACCCGAGTTCTGGATGAAGTGAGAGATTATCCAATGAAACGGAACTGTAGGTAACCCACTACAAAACATCAACGCTGATTGATTAATCAAATGTCTGACATCAAAGGGTCAAAAGCCGCTCGTGTGATCTTTGACGCGACCTTCCACAACAACCGGTCAGATCTTCGTGTAGTTGAGGCCATCGAAAATATAAAAAAACGAAACGAAATATAGATCTGTATTTTAATCAGATTGCTAATATCTTTACTAAATTACCTACTTCGACTTATCATGGAGTCAAACCAACATATTTTCTCCCAGTTTAACAGGGGTTACGGTGGGTAAGACACTGGCTCGCTAGCCTCGAGTTCGGGTGTTCGATCCCTGCATTGGCTGCGAAAGTTCGTCCAGATTTTCCGGCGTGGTCCCCCCTTGTCAGTCATGCAGGACGGAGGGCCTGACAAGGACAGCTGTCTAGTCGTTCGGATGGGACAAAAAACCGAGGTCCCGTGTACACGTTGGCGTTTGCGTAAAAGATCCCTTGACGGTTAGAATTCGATATAAGAGTAGGCCACAGTGCCGCTGTCCGGGCAAAATTTCCCTCATAGCACACTGTATGGCGTATGTCCGTCTTCATTAGCCCAGTTCGGAGCAGAACAGTAGGACGCTAAACCCCATTTCATTTCATTTTCCTATTAAACAATATTTATTTCCATATAGTTATTTTGCTTTCAAGGATATCGAATTAACAATTATCATACTATACTCAAAGAATCTAAATTATACTCACCTTTCCTGGAAATGATGATCGTGGTCTAGAGAGAAGCATCCACATAGCATGCTTCCATCTACAATATCGTCTTTGTGCATCGCTAGGTGAAAGACACGCAAATTTTGCGGAATCTGCCATCTTTTGCATTGCTTCAGCCAGATTTTCATTACGTTCAACCTTATACAGAACCTTCCAACAACATTCTGACACAAGTTCTTCGGGTATCTCCCAAAACTGTAATTCTTGTAGCATGTAGCTACCACATACATGTTTAGGTAGATGGAGCCCGTGATTTCGATACAGATTCATTATGGGGCTAAACAATGCGGGATCTCTGTCAAAATAATACTCTCCACTCTCTTCCTCGAACTCATCTGAGTCCTTGTTTAAACGAGATAATCTCGAACCCGGAAACTTATTAAGACGTGACTGTCTTGTAACGAATAATTGTCCTCCTATATTTATCCGTACTTTCGATCGTTCACTCATTTTGAAATAACCAACTGTAATCACGTGTAATACTGGACAGACCGTGTGCTGCAATTAATTATTCACAACATTGAGCTACACGTAGTCTTGCGACTAACGATTTATGTTAATAACAGTTTCGTGATCATCTCCAATGAGTCCGTTGGCAATAGAAGAAGTCTGTTTATTTAAAGTATGTTCAAGTAAAGTATACACAATAGACCAGATCACGGATAATTAGATCCCCTGGTATTCAACTGTCATCACAGTTGTAAGTGCACAAAAAGACAGGATTTCGCGACATTTAATAGGACTCAAGCAGTTCAAGAAAAAGATCAACAGCGAGCATGATGTTCCCCGCCTCAATCCTAAAATAAATAGATAACCCTCATTAATAATAAAAACATATTTATATTTTTTTAAAAAGCATCGAACAATCAAATTGTGTATCATCTGCTTAACTTGAGCAGAAAAATGGCCAGTGTCAAACTTAGTCAAGATATTAGGGACCTTTCGCATCGGTACGAAAGCGAACACGCGTTCGTTAATACCCCGTCAGACCTGGTTGGCGTCCTTATTGTGCTGATACGGAGACGGAAAATCGTGCTATGATCGCCGAGTCACGGCGTTTGTTTTGAGCATGTTCAAAACAAACGCGAAGGTTCTGCAAACTGACCTGGACAGCTGTGAGAACGCGACTTTTTTCAAGTTTGGGACATTTTCTTGCGTTGTGTTCACGTTTGCCGGCGACCTTGTGCATTTTCTAGTCGCCGTATGGTCGCAGTATTACGTATCCACAAACACGCGGTTTCGCAATCCGAAGTATGACGTTCTTAACTGGCCGAACACTCATGTACGGATTGACGTCACAAGTACACACGAATCGGTGACGTTTTCGTACCAATGCGAAAGGTCGCTATTGATGTGATGTAACACAGACAGCTGCTCAACCTAAGCAGAAAGTGTTCATCATCGAACTCAAACAAGTCATCCGCCCATTGAACATCTACACCAAGTTGGAATATTTATCTCAATTATAAGCAGAGGTTTTTTGTCCCAAACCCTGTGACATACAGATGTGGTGTCGAACACGTGTTGATCGTCCCCAGTTTTCTTAGAAAGACGGGGACGAAAAGAAATGAAATAAAATTGGGTTTAACTAACTAACTACTTGTCTTCACCGTCATAGCTAAAGAAGACTGGTATACGTTTTACGGTGGGCTGTGAGAGTAAACTGTGCCCGCATATTGATACTACTGTCTACTCTTATTTCGAATTCCAACTGTCAAGGTTTCTTTTACGTGCACGCCAATGTGTACGTGGGACATCGGTTTTACGTCCCATCCGAACGACTACCAGTATTTCTCTATGTAGCCATAAAATGTCACCAACCAACGATCTATAATTCATGTCCAAGTATTCAAATGCTAAAAGCTACAATTTCATATTTTTAAGTTATATTTTTAAAATTTATTAAAATAAAGCCCTAAAATAGATGGTATCCATAAAACGTCCTACCTTGTTAAAGAATAATCCTATTAATCCTATAATGCACTATTGCCAGCTGAGAAATTGGCAAAAATATCATTTTCAACTTCAAATTCCAACGTTTGAAGGTAGCTAATGCTAATCCTATAATTCACTATTGCCAGCTGAGAAATTGGCAAAAATATCATTTTCAACTTCAAATTCCAACGTTTGAAGGTAGCTAATGCATGGAGGCAATAGGAAAACAAGAGAGGTAATTGTGTTATTATTTCCTGTGTCAATGATTTTTAAGGGTGGTAAATAATGCCCATTTTCGTATAATAGTGAGTTGATAGCCTATTGAGCAAAAGACATAGAAATAATTATGTTTTCACTTTCTTAGAAAATATGAAATTCTCGCTTTAATTGAAATATCTACTAGTCTGGCGAAGATCAGAAATCCGACTAGTTATTATTAAGTGCTACATTTCAATGGGCTGGAAAGTACAAGAGGAATGGAGCACAAATAACCACGAACTAGACGGTGCATGATGGCATACACTCGCAGACTCAGACATTAACTACGAAGGCACAAGACAAACACACAGAATGGACAAAACACAACATACAAAGTACATGACAGACATGTAATGTAGCATACTTATCTATTCTAGTCCATTGGTTCTAGTCGTTGCAGAATAGTAGCACGATGAACCACATTTCATTTCATGTCATTTCCATTGGTTCCAAGTTATTGGGTTCCTTCACAGACCAACTTCACACAGTTATAGTATCCACATTAATTTTGTAGACCCTGGTCGTATTGAAATAGCCCAACTAGATCAATACCATAATGACTCAGCGATGTTTTTATGTAGAGTAACTGTTATAGAAACAGATTCTGAAATATATTGTCAGGACATAATACCAAATACATTACCCAACCAGGATTGAGCCTCCTACCTATTCATAAGGTAATAAATATATAACTGTCTATAAAAATGGATTTTACGATGAAATGGATAAACGCCATAAAAGAATTATACAATTAGAGAGCAACAGAAAAAACATCTAACATAACATTCAAATGTATATAGCGCAATCAATACTCGTATATTGAAAAGTTGTATATTTTGGTCCCATTGTATCCAAAGTGTAGATGGTGGGAACTCGAACCAGGCACTCGAGTCCGACTTAAAGATGCCTTCCAACATAAAGAAATGAAATGAAATAGTGTTTAACGTCCTACTGTTCTGCGCCTGGAATTCCAACTGTCAAGGGATATTTTACGTGCACACCAAGGTGTACACGGGACCTCTATATTTCGTCCCATCCGAACGACTAGACAGCTGTCCTTGTCATGCCCTCCGCCCTGTCACTGACAAGGGGGGACCACGCCGGAAAATCTGGATGAAGTTTCTCGGCCAATGCAGGGATCGAACACCCGACCTCCAGTCTAGCGAGCCAGCGTCTAACCCACTTAGCCACCGTGAACCCCCTCCAACGTAGACTAAGCGATTTGATGATATACTTGAACTAAAACCATACTCAAATTAATTTATCTAGCAAACGTTTGCGTTCAATCACTCTTTTAAATTGGAAAAATATATTTTGTTGTTTGTCATGTAACTTGATTGAGGGAGGACCCATTTACAGGTTGTATTTTTCGTTACTTGTCCATTTACCATACATAACGAAGCTTAAGTAAATCTTGGATTATCGTCTGTCAACCTCTTTTTTTCGCTGCTTAATAGCCGAGGCTGTCGTAGTACGTTTAAACCCTAACTGTTTCCACAATGGGGGGCGGGGGATGGATGGCCGAATGGTTAGCACGTGTGCGCTGTATCATAAGGTCTGTCATTGAGTCAAATGGCGTGGTTTCGAATCTCCGGTTGTACGTGACATGGAGTAGGGTCGCCTGTCCAACCTCGTGGGTTTTCTCCGGGTCCCCCGGTTTACTCCCACTGCAAAAGGCCCCTACGCAAACGAATTATTGAAATAAAATTAAAAACCATATGTTAGTCCCGACATGACCTGGTTTGTGTCGAGTGGACGTTAAACCCCATCTCTCTCTCTCTCTCTCTCTCTCTCTCTCTCTCTGTTTCCGCAATGACTTACCATTCGATCAAGAAATAACAAGCGCCCAATAACACATTCTACAGTAGATATCGCTTGTCTGACAACTTTCATAATCTACTGAATTTGATTGGTCAATGAAAAAGGCACTACTTTCTTTAACAAAAAGGAACTACGTTTTGGATTCAGTAACATTGTTAGGGTGACCCATGTACTCACAGAAATACAGTCCACCGCTGATAGTTCGAGACTACCACTGAAGCGTGCACATTCGCCGTGCCGAGACCAACTTTCTGACAGTATGATACTATAAATAGCCATGGCACGTGCAATTCTTTACAAATCTATCAACTATTACAGCCGTAAAAAAATTATTGTTGACGATTTTGAATAGCAGTAAAATTAAGCTTCTTGGTTATTACAGCAGATTTAGAAATTACGTTCGTTTCATTTTTTAAATCGCTTTATCATTAACTGTACCGTTAAGAGCGGCATCTTTTGGTTTAGTACAAATAATATCTCTGAATCACTCGGGTTAGACAGGAACATGATACTAGCAGTAGTTTCATTTTACTTTTACAAGCTTCTTAAAACGATTGTTGAACTGCCTAACGTGCTTATTTCTAAATTCAATTTCTTGTTCTAGCTTTCTGTTATGTTTCGTAAAAAAGTAGTCTTGATTATCCCGACCTGTCAATTAGACGTAGAATGGTCGATAGACTGGTTAAGCGAGACTAATTTCAAAACAAGGGCACGTAACCTATATTTTACTCAAAAGTGTCTGGATGTTATGGACGACTCTTGGAACCAGTTTTCAGTCTATTATTTACACATGATTAATGGTCATAGCTTATTAAGTACAACATGAACATTTATTTAGTGACTATAATTGTGTGAAACTGATATATATAAATATTGTGGCGTAATTGTCGAGATATATGGAGATATTTATTTCTGGTGGGTCACCCTAACATTGTTCTAGGAATGTTCCCATTTACCATAAACGCGTTCGCTTCGTAGTGGCTTTGACCTTAAAGGAAACCCCGAATCAATACATAGCACGTTGCAACGGGCGACTCGCTGTCAAAAAATGTTGTATCACTAAGCCGTAATGTAATCTAATCTAATCAAGTTCAGTAAAATTAAATCTATACCAAAGAATTATATTTATTTATTTGTGCGCGTAAGAAATGGTTGGGTGATAAATAAAATCTCCTACTCGTCCGTTTTGATCTCAAAAAATACTCTTAGGAGATTCTCTATATATCACTGAATCATGGCGTCTGCTTCTGTCCTTGCTGATTCTCGTGTTACAAAACTAATGAAACAAGTCTTGGCAGACTGAAGCCTAGGGCCTCCAGATATAGGAGCATCTTGCCAAGATGCACATAATGGCATCAATATGGATTGAAATGGACCACCCATACAGAATTCTAATTTATATTTTTAATTTTGAATATTATGGAAAACACTTGAGTTAGAGACTTGGCTTCTTTATGTCGGGAAAGGGGGAGGGGACGTTACCACATATTTGTTCTTTTATATCGATAAATGACTTCTCGTGTTTAGCAATGCCAGACAATTCAAAGAGAGCCTTATATACAGTGAGGTAAGGATTACAAAAGGATCAGACTGATTCTCAAGTCGATTATCTAAAAAAAAAAAAAAAAAAAAAACACCTCCCCGTTTTTTTCGCATGGGTTGAGCGACCAACTATTCAGGCTTTCGGGTAAAGATCACAGATTGTCTTTACATCCCCTCACCCACAATAGAAACCAGACATAATAATAATGAGCGGAACGAAGGTCGACATCGGAACCCAAAATCTTTAGACACACAAACTGAAAGGATATTACTATTAATCGTGTATATTACACGCTCTACCTTAAAAACGTTACCGAGGACTTAACTGTCATCCTTCCGCCTCCAATTAATGAATGTGCACAGAAATGTCAACAGAAATCGACATGAAAAGGGGAGAGAAAGACTGAATAGTACCAATTGATTTTAATCTTTTCTTTAGCACTGGCGGTAATAGAATAAAGGCTGCCACACTATGCTTAGCAATTTGGTTGCTTTGATTTCCCTGTAATTGGATTTTATATTAGAACCTCGGGTGCCAAAGCAATACGATATCATACGCACTCTATCAAATTTAACTCAAACGCACCTGTTTCCGTGATTATCTAGTAAATTTAAAATTACTAAAGATGCATTACCTTAGAGCTAAATCTGTTGCATGTCTTTTTTCTTGTTTCAACTAGAATATACTCTTCAAAAAAAGTAGGGGATATTGATATGCAAATAGCTATGCGGATTGTGATATGATAAATAGTCATGGACACTTGACATGTTTTGAGAGTATGTTCACAGATGAAGAACTTATCGCCCGTTGAGTTGCATGTGAGACACGCAATAGCGCCGTACACGTGGGAGGGGTTCATTGTCAAATTTGACACTTCAAGGAAGGGTTGATGTAAACTGCCGCTTGCTGGTTTATCCTATCCATGTTTGCTTTCCTACTGGTTCTTGCACAAGATTTACTGTTTAGTGTATCTTTGCTTTAGTGTGTTTCGGAGCAAAACAGTAGGACGTTAAACCCCATTTCATTTAATTTGATCGAGAGACATGTTCGTCAACGTCAACGTCAACCGACAACACTGCAAGAGAAGTGGGTTAGATTGCCCCAAATCGTGATTGGACGGTTGATTAAGAGCATGCCACGACCAATTGCTGAATGTTTGAGGATTGGTGGAGCAATTACTCATTATTAAGACAAAAATCAAAAACGTCCATTTTCACTTTTGACATTGTAACTCTTTGCGAGTGAAATAGGGCCGCCAGATAAGCCGGCGATATAGACTGTTCATGTG